CTGACAGATGCAGAAACACAGATAGACTTTTTAAAAACAAACTATTTACTGTGATTAAGTTTGTTTGTAATTAAGCACAAAGCTACACAACGAGCTATTTATGCTCTACCCACCACGGTTATCGAAACCCGGTTTCTAGCGTTGTAAATCCGCAGACGTACCGCTGTGCTACTGGGGAACAATTACTGTGGAACAGGTATGGTAAAACAAGTAAACGAAACGCCTTGTCTTTAGTAGGTACCCAGAATGATATTATTATATTTAATATAATATTGCTCTTTGACCTACATTAACCAAAGACTAATTTATGATTTCAAAAAGTAAAAAAAAAAGAGAAAACTGTACATTATCGTAGCCACACACATGTTGGCAAATCGAACAAATCTAAATCCACTCTAAAAATTATTTTGACGGCGATATTTTCTGTTAGAATTGTTGTTTGCTATAAAGCTACACAAAGGGCTATATGTGCTCTGTCCACCACGGGTCTCGAAACCCGGTTTCTAGCAGTATAAGTCCACAGACGTGTCGCTTTGCCACTGGGGGCATTTTCTGTTAGAAAAAACAACAACAACAAAAACACATTGCCAGATTATGTGACTATCGTGACGTAATTTCCTACTGGAGGAACTATCACTAAATCTATTCTATGGGCTTTTGCTGACATACATCGATACGAAGATTGATCAAAGGGCATTTAAGCTTTGAATAAACTCCGACTATTATAAAGTGGAGTTTTAGATTTGAAGAGAATTCTTTATTTTATCAGTCGATACTGAAACTCTGGAGTTATTGTATCGTAAGTCCACAACCAGGAAACGCACAGCTCTTTCTCTCTAACTTTTTTTTTCAGAATAAATATTTAATTTATATAAATACTAGAGAGAAGTGTTCATATCTAAATCCCTTTTTTGTTTGTTTTTAGAAAAGTATAGGTCGAATTCATGTTATTTATATAAAAACTATAGGTCTGGCTTCCATTGTCAAGTACTTGTTTTATAAATTACTGACACTGAAATACAAAACAACAATAGAACAAGGACGAACAACTAAATCATTCTCGGACCAGCTTTAAAACTTGCAAACGTACAGAAAACCGTAACAATCGAGATATTTATCCAAGCTTTAATCTTGCCTCTCCCACCCCACACCCCCAAGAAAAAAAAGTAAAGACAAAGTTAATAGCAGCGAGGAATGAACTCGAAAGTAATCTTGACCATCAAAATATTAAAAAAGTATAGTGAAAGCAATAACTGGACAGCACTTTCCATTTTCATTTCTACTTAATGTTAAACTTTTACGTAATCTTCCAGAAATGAGCCATAAAGATGGTTAAAAACAGCTATAAAAACTGTAAGGGACAAATTTTATATAAGATTAGAAAACCCGAAGTCTGTATCCTGATCTTTGTGATTGGTTTCCACAGGAATTATATGTTTAGTTTTCTAGTGAATACTTCTAAACCACTATGAACTGTATTACTTGAGTGTACTGTAATGAAAGTATTGAAGTTTATATCTTTTTTTTTTACTTTTTATTGTTGCTGTAATCAGTAACACATCCTAATTCTGAATTGTGTACAGAAAAGATAAGATTGAGTGGTTATCTTCCATAGTAATAGTGTACATTTAGTCATACTTTTTATTGTTAATAATAAGTAACACATCCTAATTCTGAATTGTGTACAGAAAAGATAAGATTGAGTGGTTATCTTCCATAGTAATAGTGTACATTTAGTCATACTTTTTATTGTTAATAATAAGTAACACATCCTAATTCT